GGGATGCCCGAAACGCAGACTTTGGGCACGTATCAGACCGTGGATTGCTTTTACTCATTTTGCCTTCTTCTTCTTCTTTTTTTTGAAGAATTTGTTGAATTGAGTTGTTGAAATTAGACTCTAAATTTGTTTTAAGAAAGATATTTTTTTCTAGTGTTTTAGATTCCTAAACTTAAGGTTAGGGCTTGAATGGACCTAGGTTCCTAGGATTTGAAGGCTATGGAGGATTATATGTCTAAAGATCTAGGCTAGGGCTTTCCTAAGCTAAGCTTTTTTCTCTCCGAGGTTTCTAATTTCTCTAAGGTTTATGGTCTCTAAAGAATTATGCGTCTAAGGATCTTAATTCTCCAAGGTTTCATAGATGCTTGATGATAAATTGGACCCCGAAATAAAGCTTTATATAAGCTCTTTCATGTGTTTTTATGCATTTTCTCATGCTTATGAAAAAATTGAGTAGGGTTGAATCTGGGTGTTGGACATCTGTAATGGGATTCTTGTCGCCAAACCTCTTAGAATATGTAACATACCCAGCATCATCAAGGCTCCTTCTCCTTGATTTTCCGGACAAAAGATCTTCTCCTACATTACGTTTATTTTGGATTGAATCCTATCACTTTTCAAGTTCGAACTAGTCCCAATTTGACATAAATTCTAGCTTCTCTAATCCTATTTGGATTTTATTTAATCCTAATGGTTTTTGGTATGTATAAAACATCTTCTAGGGCTTTCCAGAAGGTGGGGTCTATGATTTAGGATGTATACAATATATATAATAGTAGGCTAAGGTCTATTAGGCTATCATGGTCCCTAAGTGTTTATGAGGTTATTTTAGAGTATTTGTCCTAAGGTTTTTGGGCGATACAAGTCTAGGAACTTACCACTTTCAAATTGGGAGTCTACAAGGGTATTTTGGTCGTTTAAATTTATTTAAAATAATATTTTTTCTATAAAATGTGCTCTAGTGAAGCACGTACACCATCAGAATTTCATGTTGATCCTATTTTGAGGGGGGGAAAAAAAAAAACCAATATGAAACTTAACTCCATGTTTTCAAAATGATAATTTAGTATGAGAAATGGGAAAGCTACACTTCCCATTTTTTAGGCATTTTACCCTTCCATGGGGGGGGTAGTGAAATAGAAGACTTTTTTTTTTTTCATTTTTAAGAAATTTGGACTTCCTTTCATTATATCATTCCTAATTGCCAAACGACAAATTGCTACAATTTATAGGGACTTCAAAGTTTGGCAGCCAAATTTCAAGTTGTGAAATGCCCCTTGAGAGTCTCGTAAGGTTGCCGATAATAAGAGTGAAATTTTAAATGAAAAATTTATTTCTTGCATGAAAGTTTTTGTTGCATCTAGAGTTGAGAGAGTCCTCTCAAAAGGAGTTCGCGTGATTTCTCCTATTTGGTGTGAATGATTCCACCCCACCTTGCTGGTTGAGCAACTCCCATCAATACCTTGTAGGCTCCAACTTGCATAAGAGATGAGGTGACACAAGAAGCAACATTTGCCAGACTATCATCGTATCCAACACTCTATAACAAAGATTAAAATAAGAAAAGAGCCCAAGTTTAATTGGTTAGTGCTTGACGATTTGTGACGTTATCTCTTAAACTCAATTCTTACCAAAGGTAGGGGCCCTCTCCCCACTGACCCACAAAAAAAACACTAACGGAAAACTATGGCTAAATTAGGGTATTTTGGATCTAATTGGGATATTCTAGGCTTCCTAAGGGGAACCTCCTTAGCTTTTGGAAGTTTTTTTACATTTTTTGAGGCAGTCCATCATGTCCAACAATGGAGGGTTGGATATGATGTCCTTAATAATATGCCTACGCTGGGGAAAAGACCGAAAGTCCTTGCGTCTTTGAACATGGAAGGGCAGCCACCTGTAGCTAAGGTGGATGCCTTTTGATGTGAACGGTAAAGGCCGTGGGCATACCCTCAAGATGCGTTTGCTGACAACAAGATGCGAGTAAGTCATTGGTGAAAGTTTGGTTTCACATTCTTTGTGTAAAATATAGGTTTTGTTTAAGTCAATTCTAGGAGCTGACCTCAATTAGTTGGGAAAAAACTTTGACGACAATGATGATAACTTAACTCGGGATAAATTAACAACTACCTTGAAACCACAACTAAAAGAGATCACCTTACCCTCGTTGGAACACCTTATTTATGTGAGGACACATTATTGCTGTGAGAACACGTTACTTATGTGAGAACATCTTACTCTTGTAAGAGCACTTTCTTTCTTTGAGAACATCTTACTTTTATGGGAACCACTTTGCATCGTTGAAATCATCTTTGTTGAGAATTGACAAGTAGGATTAGTTCAGGATAGGGTCGTGGTGGTAGCATCCCCCACACCCTAGTTATCATGTTGTGGTTTTCATTTTCACTGACACCACCTCATTAACAGTTTAAAAAAAAAACTAACTCCAATTAATTCCTTCAAGTAGGCCCGTCTTTTTAAACGCAGATCTCTTAAAAAGGTAATTTGTCAAGAACTAGAATCTCATTGGGATTTTTAATCGCATATCTCTGGAAAAGGTAGTTTGTCGAGAACTAGAATCTCATTGGGAAGAAAGCTGATGATTAGTAGCATGACAAGAGAAACGATCTACTGGGCGTAACTTGTGTGCACCAAGAGCATAGCCGCGTCTCATAGTTCTTGCTTTCAAAATTAACAAGGACAAGAGACCTCCTAGAAGTTATAAACTAGCGCATTGAACCCAATACGCGCTTGAGAAATCAGGCCAAGGAGGGTTATATCTAGAGATATGCTCTATACATTCCCATATAACCAGCATTCGCAAGCTCCGCCGGTCAACTTGGAACTGGTTGGTCAAATTGGAATCGGGCAGTTTTGGTGGTCCCGCTGGGTATTTTAAAGAAGAGTGTGGTTTCTATAAGATTGCAACTTTAAACAATTCAATTAAAACGCACCTCTAAATTTTATCATAATATGTAATTTTGGTGTAAAAAATTATTAGGATAATCTAAAAAACTATTTTCATATCTAATTATAAAAACTTTGAACTCCAAAAATGGTTAAAATCAAGTAGACCTATAAACATATGAAAATCTCGAAAATAGACGGTCTAGATAATGTGTTGCAAAATGCTTTATTCCTTAAACTCAAAACCTTTTTTTTTTGTTTGTCATATGCATACATCTCAACATCAATTAGAGGGCTTTCAACATCAAAACAACCTTTTTCAATGGATTTTTGAGGTGTATCTTTATTTCTACATTTTAAGATTGTAACCTTATATAAAATTTTTCCTTTAGAAACCAATTAAATGCCCCACCCCGTTTTCTGCTTTTTGTTTTTTTTGTTTTTGGGAGAGAGAGAGAAGTCTCAACAAAATTGTTGTTTATATGCGATTCTCTATAGAGAGACTATTTATCTTTTATATATGGAGGTCACAATCATTTTTGTCCCTAAAATTTCAAAATGATTGGTTGTAAGAGTATCATTGAATAAAGACAGTTCTAAATTATTTTTTTTCAGATTTTATGATTCACCCCAAACCATCTAATTTAACATCTAATGAGTGAAAATGACTGTGACCTCCATGTACAAAAGATACATGGTGTCTTTGTAGACAATCCCTTATATTAAACTCTACAGATTCACCCTAAAAATTGCCCAATCTAGTCTCTACAAAGGGAAAGTCTCTACAAAGGGAAAGCCGGGAGCAAGGCTTTGAACTTCAATAATCAAAATGATGGTAGGAGCAATATTTTCCCATTCTATTTTTGGGCTTCATCACACAAAATATATAAGAAAATTTTGATTATGCTCCTATTAGAATTTGGCCGAAGAGACCAACGCAATGGTTTCAAGTTTCACTTCAAAGCAAGGTTTAAAAACACAGTTGCATGACCCGGATTGTCAGCCCCAAATACCAGTTCGGACTGGTGGATCGGCGCATCGGAGCGGTGATCCAGTTGAGAGAACCGAGCAAAAAAAATAAAAAGCTTGAGAAAATTTTTAATGAATAATAAAAAGGGTGGGGCCAGATCGACTGGTTCCTGACTGAACCAACTAATTCTATCAAAGAATCAATTGGTTCAGAAGCAAAAATTCCTGCTTCCTGATATATGGTGGGCAGCGAACCGGTCGCATCAATTCTCAGATTGGATCGGACGATTCTGCTACGATCCGACTATTTTTAAAACCTTGCTTCCAAGCCTGAGGACTTAGCCTTAGCAACTGAAGCAAAGATGATAACAATGTTCAAGTGAAGCAAAGATGATAACAATGTTTGGGTCACAAATTTTGTTATGTAACCTCTTTCAAAAAAATAGAAAAAGGAAACCATTAGATATATAACAAATGAATATCCTTTCTTTAATGACAATACCTATAGCATGAAGTTTTTATATGGCCTAGGTTTTAAGTCTCTGCTCAAATCCTTGCTCAAATCCTTGTCTTGAAAGCACTTTCGGTAATAAAAATCTCTATGATGGCTGTAAAATTAATTTCCAACGCCAACAGCAAAATTTGAAACTCAAAAAATAGTACAAAACTACAGATCTTGCACATTTTTCATCACTTATTTTTAGGGCAAAATAGAAAGTTTAGATAATTTGTTACAATATACTCTATTTTTAGAGAAATCATATTTTTTTTCAACAATCATAATATGCAAGCTGAGATTGAGATGATTGATGCAAAGGTTTTCCAATGCTTAAATTGCTATTTTTGATGAGTTATGAGGTGAATCTTTACTCATTTTGATTTCCATAATTAGGATGGTGGTTGTTAATTGACCCCAGAATTTGTGTCCAAATAATTCTCCAAAGCATGGGGTTCAGTGTGCAGTGTGCTGTCGATGGACTAACACATACAAACCCACCCTAGTAGCACTAGCGAGTATATTGTGCTCCCACATGAGTATGCTACACACGCTCAAAGAAACATGTGTGCACACAGCACACATGCCAACAGCAGAAGCTGACCTAGATAGCTAAGTACGCCAGAGATCATTTCAAATCAAAAAAGCTCATCAATTTCATCCTCCCATTGAGTCTCCATCGCCCCATATTTCACAAAAGTACCCCCTAATAGGCCTGCCTCTTCAATAAAGTAAAGAGCCCCATAAGAAATCCACAAAGAAAGAATATGCAACAGACCTATCTCTGACAAGAAAGCCCATTATCTATTACATTGTTGAGTTGGCCAGAGATCTTGGCCTTGCAAGTTGGACACATAAAACCCACCGAATCTGATTGAGCCTCTGAGCCAAGACCTTCATGATTGAACTCGGACCTACACCACACACAAATAGTGGTAGTAGTAGCAGTAGTAATTGCAGCGACAGTAGCGGTCCTCACTTGGCTGTAGCCACCCATATTTGGTACAACGGGGTCCCATTCGAAGCGAACAGAAGGCTCAATCTCTTCCTGAATAAAGTCTTCTGCATAATCCAAATCCATTGGCCCAGCAGCTAAAGAACTAGAGTCTTGTTCCCCTGGAACGTAGCTGAATTTGCTAGGACTGATGTCCTCAAGCTTTAGATCGTCAAAGCCTGATATGTTCTCGAATTTGTGGCTTACACTGCTGAATTCGTCTTCCCCCTGCTTGTTAGAGAGAGAGAAGAGGAAAGAAACGAGTCAGTCTCCAAATCAGTTTCTCGCATCAATGATTATTATTATTATTCTTTTCACGGAAAGGGTTATGGGCCTTCTCTCTCCACTATATTATCTACGGGGCAAGCTTTCTATGCTTCCCCTACAACATAAAACTTAAATACTTCCTCTTATCCAACCGTCCATTCTGAATGGAGGGCTAAGATTACCCTAATCACAATGTCACGTCTCTACACTATTTTATTTTTAATTTTTTACTATCAACTATTTTAACACCAAATTTTGTATGTCCAATCCTCTATTAAACTCGCACTAGTGAAAAATATAAAAAAAATATTTTCAATTTAATAAAATGACCAAAATACCCCTGAAAGTTTCAAGGGGTATTTTGGTCATTATATTTTATTGAAAATTATTTTTAATATTTTTTTATAGGTGCGCCCAATGAAAAGATGACACGTACCAAATTTCATATTCATACAATTTGTATAAAAAAACTAAAAATAAAATATTTTGAGACATTGGATATAAGATCAAACAATGAGTGACTCCTGATCAAAATTGGACAGCTGGATGGTATAGATCTTCCATGTTGTAGGGGAAGTATAGAAACCTTTCCCTTATCCAAAAAGAGTTCAATGGAAAATTGTTTCATGTGTCAAGGGATGCACTTCTACATGTGTGTCCCCTTGCGCATCCCACATCCATCTTAAAATGGAAATGGATGGTGTTAATAAAACGTTACAAAAGTTTATTTTTTATTTTCAAAATTTATTTTCCTTTTTTATATTTATATTCAGTGTTTTAAAAAATAGACCGCCTAGAACCTAGGCAATCTAAAAGGCCTAGGCGCCTCACCCAGGCCTAGGCTACCAAATTAGGAGGGTTGTCCTTGGGCTACCTAGGCAACCCGCCTAGGCGCCTCTCTTGATCAAAATGGACAGCTGGATGGTATAGATCTTCCATGTTGTAGGGGAAGTATAGAAACCTTTCCCTTATCCAAAAAGAGTTCAATGGAAAATTGTTTCATGTGTCAAGGGATGCACTTCTACATGTGTGTCCCCTTGCGCATTCCACATCCATCTTAAAATGGAAATGGATGGTGTTCATAAAACGTTACAAAAGTTTATTTTTTATTTTCAAAATTTATTTTCCTTTTTTATATTTATATTCAGTGTTTTAAAAAATAGACCGCCCAGAACCTAGGCAGTCTAAAAGGCCTAGGCGCCTCACCCAGGCCTAGGCTACCAAATTAGGAGGGTTGTCCTTGGGCTACCTAGGCAACCCGCCTAGGGGGGCAGCCAGGGTCTGCGCCCCGCACAAGGGAGGAAATGCCAGGGCATTTTTTGTTCTTTATTAATATTAAATGAGCAAAATTGTAGGTTTTAGGTTCATTTGAAACCTAAACCCCATTAGAGCCTATTTTAGACCGAGAAAACCTCAAAAAACTAATTTTTGGTGATTTCCATAGGATGGAAGGGCTTCTCAAAGCTACGAGAAATTGATCTAAGCATCACCCATTGATATTAAATTTAGTGGACTAGCAAACTATGGACTTATGGAGTATGGAGGAGTGGTGCTATGTAGACTTGTGTATTACACATTTGATGTGCCCTAAATCCCTAACTCTTATGTGTTATACAATTATACTTAAACTGTTAGGCTACGGAGACATTTTTCTTTCTATTGGACCGCCCAGGTTCTGGGCACTCGCCTAGGTGCTGGGCGGCCTGGACCCCCCGACTGCCTAGGCGCCGCCTAGCGTTTTTTGAAATACTATTTATATTCACCAATGTTGATATTCTAAATACATAAACTTTTAGACCCAAGATTATCTCTTATATGGATTCTAGAGAGAAGACTCATATGATCAGATAGATGTGTCGGTGGACTCACCAAAACCATATCCTCTAGGTATACTCATTTCTCCAAATTGAAATAGCAAGTTTTACATTCATTTTCCTTAAAAACAATATAAATTTACATTACTATCAAGGACCTCCTTGTACTGTGTGTTGGGGTTTGGCCATCACTGGGGTAATCGGATGTAGGGTGTTCTGAGTCCTAAGGGGGTGACCCTAGGCAATATTTAATAAGTCTTTTGTTCTTAATTTATTTGTTCTTTCACATTAGAAGTTCTGACTATTTATATTTATTTATAGAAATCCTATTTGTATTAGAATTCGAATTTGAAGGTTTGAATTCAACCTTTGAATAAAGTTTTATTTTAGCAGTAAAAGTAAAAGATCCTAGATTGTAGTAGTAGTAGTTTTTTTTTTTTTCTACGTTAGATTGTGGCAATTGTAAGTAGAAATTCCATTTATTGATAAAGAAATTTTTTGAATTCATAACTTGGAATTCTAAATAGCCACACCTTTTAAGGAAGAGCCTAGGATGGATTGGTTAGCGCTTGACGATTGCAAGCCTAATTTCCTAGGCGCAATTCCTACAAAGGGTTGAGGGGCGAATCAGGCCCTCCCTGCACACAAAAAAAAAAAAAATTAAAATTCATAAAAGAAATAAAATAGCCACATCTTTTATTGTGTTGGAAATGGAGGGTGAAAAGGCACAATAGACAAATGATGAATGAAACAAAGTAGGTCTCAATCGCTCTGATCCCAGGCACGATATATTGCGGCTGCCTTAAGACAATATTTGCCCCTTACTGATAATAATCAATGTGCATCTAAGTCGAGGTTTCAAAAAATGCTAGGCGGCCGGCCTGGCACCCAACGCTCAGGCGAGTGCCCAGAACCTTGGGCGCCCTGTTGTACAAGTTATATAGATATGTAGTATATACATATAGATTTGTGTCAATTTTAGAATTTATTACATTTGAAAATATTGTAACATATTTTTTTTATATACGAACATATGACATGTCGCATGTTGAAAATAAACTTGTTCAAAATTTCAAAATTCAAACCATACAAAATTTAAAAGTCTAATAGGATATGTATTAGTAATAGTCTCCAACTCTCCATGTTTCATAATAAGTGAAAAGGTTTTCAAACCACAAAAAATACTTTTGATTCTCAGAAACAGGTATAGCTAAGAAATTGAGGGTTTATAGAATTTTTCTTTTAACTTTGGGGGTTGAAAATAACCCCCATAACCTATTTAAACCTTTTTAAGGGTCAAAATTACCCCATTTTTCCTTTTGGGTATTTTTTTTTTAAAAAAAAGCTCAAATCCCTAGGCACCTGCCTAGGTACATCCATCAGTGTAGCGTCGCCGCCTGGGTCTGGGCATGCGGTATTTTGGTCTAGGCTGCCTTGGCGGGCACCTAGGCGCTGGGCGGACCGTTTTTTAAAACATTGATCTTTTCGCCACGTAAATTTGTCATCGTGATACTTTGAAAGTAGAGGATTGTAAAAACTATCTTGCCAATACAAATGAACAAACTGTGAGATCTAGAGCACTAGAGTTGTCTAGAGAAAAAGTTCTCACAAAACACTTTTGAAAGTAAGAAAACTTCATGTGTATATGTGTGTACAAACTGGAGGAAACAAGTCCCCATTCATAAAGTGAGAGAGTGCCTTTTCACCTGCTCTTCATGACTATTTAAGTACATATTAGGTCAAGAAAGTGAGAGAGTGCCTTGTCACCTGCTCCGCGCCAAGTACACATTGGGTTAAGAATTGCATCTCTCAAAATCACAACCATCAGAGTTGTACCTTTGTTGCAATTGAAGTGTAGCAAGAAAAAACAACAGTGACGTGATGCCTCGTCAAATTATGGGAAACCAACTGTCACGCTTTATTTGTGTGAGCCAACAGTCACATGGTGTCTCTTCGGGTTCCGGGAAATGAACTATCATGCTTTATACATGGCTCAACAAGTGGGGCACAAATCCTCACATTCAAAGGTGGGCCACAGTTCACTAAAGTGCACCAATCCACCGGAGCCAAATTACCCGAATACCCTACGATCATCAAATCACGAGACACTTTGCTAGTTGTAGTAAAAAGAAATCGAGTCACGAGCCCGACCAGCACATGTGCACAAGCTAAAGGTGCCTTTTGCACCGAAACAAGCGTACGAAATGCAAAGTGTGCCATCAAATGCCCTTGTGCCCTCACACACGCATGTGCCTTTGCATGTTACGTGTGCTTTGCATAGGCCTTCTCTCCCATTGGTTCTTACAACATAAGTGAGAAGGATTTTAAGTAAGGATTCCCTTATCCAATTCTCCATTGTGGGATAAATATCACATTGCTTCTCTATCTACAAATAAGACTAAGCACAATTTCCAAAACACTGTTAAAAGGAAATATTATTTTGAATCAATATATGGTATTTTCCAAAGCAAAATACAACAATTTCCTCCGCTATCTCAAAATAATATGAAAACTACAAGCAACATATGTCATTCACATACCAGGAAGTTATCCTTCAATTTGAATCTCTATAAAGATTATCAAGCTCCATGGTAGTATTTAACTTTGAATGAAGGATCATATCCAAAATACCGATGGCATAACACACAAATAACATTCACTCTCCAGTGTCACTCTATATTGCCAGCTTGTTATAGGCCTTGAGTTTATATTTCAATTTTCATGAGCACTCTAGGCAAGAGTTTAATCTCATAGGAAACGCCTCACTTCTATACTCATATAGGTGAGTCTATCAAAGGTGCCCTTTCATATAAAACACCCTAACTGTACCAGTCATAGATATCATTAAGAGTATAGCTTAACCTCCTCTCATGCAAGTTATCACTAGACTTATCCACCATATGGATCTTTCTACAATGTATACGTAAAATTTTTCAAAACACGTCTAATGAACCAACTAACAATGCGAACGACTTGTTTTTACGGCATTTAATCTCGACCTCTTGAGGTAAGAAAAGGCCTAGATTGGGTTTCCACCATTGATAGTTACTATATGGACTCTAGCCCCATTCTACCTAAAATATGACAGTTGTTCTCCCTTGCGACGCTTTTTTTCAAAGGATAGACCAAAATTCTTATTTCATCATCATC